AATTTTGACAAATTCATGTACAAGTGTAATCACTTCTACAATCAAAATAAAGAACATCTTCCAAATGTAACCTGTGTCCCATTCTCCCCAAATTCCAGCCACAGGAAACACCTGACTTGTTTTCTCTCACCACAGATTAAATGTGGCTTTTCCAGAGGGTCATATAAATAGAAACATACAGTACAGGAGATCCTTGGACAACCTAGGATTAAGGATATAATGAAAATCTACGTGTACCTTTCTACTCCCTTGAAAACTTTACCAATAGCCTATTGTTGATCAGAAAGAAGGCTTACACACAATATAAACAGTTGGTTAACAAGTATTTTATATGTTGTACATATTACATGCTATGTTGTTACAATAAAGACAGGGAAAAGGAAATGTCATTAAAATCATAAGGAAGAGAAAATACATTTACAGAGCTGTGCTGTTTTTATCAGAAAAATATCTGCATATAAGTGGACCTGTGCAGTTCATACTCACATTGTTGAAGGGTCATCTGTATGCATGCTTTTGTGTAGAGCTTGTCTATTTAAGCATAAATGTATTAGTCAGTGTTCCCCAGAGAAGCAGGATCAGTAGGATACGTGTGTGTGTGTGTGTGTGTGTGTGTGTGTGTGTGTGTGTGTATTTGTATAGGGTTATACAATTGGGTCGTACAATTTTAGAGGCTGGCAAGTGCAAAATATATGGGGTAGGCCAACAAGCTGGAACCCCAGGAAAGAACGATATTGCACCGCAAGTCCCAGGCCTTCTGCTGACAGACTATCCTCTCCCTCAGAGGAGCTCTGCTTTGTACTACAAAGTCTTCAACTTACTAGACAAGGCCCACTCACATTACGGAGAGCGATCCGCTTTTCTCAAAGTGCACTGATTTAAATGTTCATCAATGAGGGGTGCCTGGGTAGCTCAGCTGGTTGGGCGTCCGACTTCAGCTCAGGTCATGATCTCACGGTTCATGGGTTCGAGCCCTGCATTGGGCTCTGTGCTGACAGCTCAGAGCCTGGAGCTTGTCTTTGGACTCTATGTCTCCCTCTCTCTCTGAACACTCCCCTGCTCACACTGTCTCTCTCTCTCTCTCTTTCAAATAAATAAAACATTTAAAACAAAATTTTTAAATAAATAAATAAATGTTATCAATGAAACGTTAATATAATCCAAACAACACCATCACAGAAACATCCAGAATAATTTTTGACCACATACCTGGACACTATGGCCCAGCCTAGTTGGCACATAAAATTAACCATCACAATTATGTTCCTCATATTCATCTATGTTTTACACAAATGAAAAGATCAGTCCATTTAAATATTGAATAATGTTCTAAGCTGTGAGTATACCAGTTTGTTTACCTCTTCTCCTGTGGATGGAGACCTGGATACTTTGGATTTGTGACTATGAGGAGTGAAGCTGCTCAGAGCACATATACATAAGTATTTGCAAGAACAAATGTTTCATTTATCTGTGGTAAATGTATACGAGTGGGGATTGCTGGGTCATATGATAAGTTTGTATTTCACAATGTAAAAACTGTCAAGTTTTTTCTCACCATGGGCTTATATTTTGTGGGTTTTTTTGCTTTACAGTTTTTTTTTTTACAAATAGTTTATTGTCAAATTAGTTTCCACATAACACTCAGTGCTCATACCCAAAGTGTCACCATGGGCTTATATTTTAAGTTACCAAAAGTAATCTAGGAAAGTTCTAGCTGTTCTGTATTCTTGCCAAATTCTTGGTACTTTCAGGGTTTCTCATTTTAGTGGTTTCTAAAAGCATCTCACTGTGGTTTTAATTTGCATTTTCCTGATAACTAATGATGTTGAGTATCTTTTTATGTATTGACCAGCATTTGTCCATCTTCTTTTGTGAAGTGTTTCTTCAAATCTGAAGCCTTTTAAATTGTGTTGAGTTAGTTCCTATCATTGAGTTGTAAGTGTTCTTTACGTGTTCTGAATACAAAACGTTTGACAAGTGTATACATATTACAAAGGTTTTCTCCCAATCTGTGGCTTGCCTTCTTTATTTTCTTGCTGTTTTCATTGGAAGAGCAGAAGTTTTTAATTTAGATGCCACCCTGTTTTTCTACATATTCCTAGAGTTGGTTTGCATGCTACCTTTGCTTGCCATAGGTCAGAGAGATAGTTTCCTCTAGAAGACTTTTAATTTTTGCTTTTACACTTATGTCTATGAACTATCGTGGTTTATTATTTGTGTACTGCATGAGGAGAGAGCTGATATTTATTTATTTTCCATTTGGATAGTCAATTGTCCTAACACTATTTTTTATAAGGCTCTCCTTTTCCCATTTAATTGCCTTGTCACCGTTGATGAAAATCAATTGACAAATATGTGTGAACCATTTACTGGTGTCTCTGTTCTGTTCCCTTGATCTGTATGTCTATTCACACGCCAACACAACGCTATCTTGGTTACTGCAAATTTCATAGTGATTCCTGAAATCAGGCAATGCAAGGTCTCCAACTTTGTTCTGCTTTCACAAAATTATCTTGGTATAATCTTCATTTTAACTCTATGCATTTAGTATTAATTTGATGTTTTTTTATAGGATTAGATCAATGGATATGCATATGCATAGGCAGAAATATAACACCCTCTTTCAGTCCTGCATAATTATTCTTTTAAATTTACTTTCTTAAACATAGTGAGTCTTTCAGGGGCACATGGGTGGCTCAGTCCATTAGGCATCCAACTTCAGCTCAGGTCATGATCTCATGGTTCATGAGTTCGAGCCTGGTGTCTTGAGCCTACTTTGGATTCTGTGTCTCCCTCTGCCTCTGCCCTTCCCCCACTCATGTTCACTCGCTCTCTCTCGCTCTCTCTCTTTCAAAAATAAATAAACATTAAAAAAATAAAAATAAAACATCCTGAGCCTTTCAGTAGCCTACGTGCAAGTGCTTTCTGTATTATGGCCAGTATCACTGTTCCGCAATTGAACTACTGTCCCGTGTGTATATCTCTTCTCGTTTTCATCCACAGGCAATCTCTGCATCATGACTCTATTCTTTGTCCCACATTCTGCTCTCAAAACAATCTCCTCAATGCTTAAACATCTGAATTTCTTTAAACTCAGCCTACTGTTGTCAACCCTGATTTTCTTAATCTTAAAGACAGCACCTGAGGTCTGACCTTGTCAGAGCTTAGATGCAGAATAATCACCTTATGACATGTACAAATGTCACTGCACATTTTGATGGCATTCTCACTGTGTCAGAGCAAATCCAATTTCTGCTCTGCTCTCCCCGGAAGTTTCCTTCTGCCTTAATGATTCATAACTGGTGTTAGCTAATATGAATCTTCCCCTCCAAATAATCATAACATGACTTTTTTAAAGTAAATCATGATGGGTGGTTTGCATTCATCTTCAATTATTTATTTTTAAAATAAAGGCTAAAAGAACAAAAGGAGGGTTGAATTTTGGTAACATATTGTGAAGGACAGGTATGCCCACTTATTTCTGAGGGTGGCATAAACAGGGGGAATTGCAAATAAAGAGCAGAGGAAACAGAGTAGAATTGAAGCTTTGCTCTGGAAGGAAAAAGAAATGGGTGAAGATCAAAGGAGTAGGAATTCAGAGAAACAAGAGCCTCACCTGCATACTTTTGATTCCCTGCAGCCTCCCAACCCCCCACAGCCTTTTCTCAGTAGCCTCAATCCTGTTCTTTGTCAGCACCATCAATTAAATGACCCTGGGTCTGAAAGCTTATGACCCTACCCCAGACACCCTCCCTGCAACTACAAAGGCCAACACTGTCATTTCATTCTGCAACTCCATCAGTGCATGTCCTTATGATCATGTCCTTAAAAATATAGAAGGGACTACAGAATATGTTCCTTCTTCCTGATGACCTTGTGGTCCCCTTAGTGTGAGAGAAAATACACAACACAGTGACCCCAAGAGCTACTTCAGCCGCTCCCACCCAGGGTCTGAATTCACATGAACTAAGCATCAGCATTGACCAAGGCAGTGACTGCAGAAAGCTGGAAAGTGCTTCCAAAGAAAGTAGCCACACCTGCCCTCTGTGAGCCCACAGACCAGACAGGGGGAAGCCAAGCTCTTTTCCATACCCTCTACTAATAACCAACATCTGTGCATTTTGGAAACATCCTCACCAGCACAACTATCCAATTTCTTGATAAACTCTAAATTTTAGAATCAAAAAAGTCCTTGGGAAATCATCTAGTTAATATTTTACAGGTGTAAACATTAGAAGGTGAGAGAAGTTAAATGGTATAAGAGCACATACCTATCTAGTCCAAAAAGTAATTAATGCTTATTTTCTGTTTTTATCTTACCAAACCAATCTATACCAAAAATATTCTATACCCTCAGCTTTCCTAGATCCTTTGGGGATATTGTTTCAAGGATGGAAGAAGCATTTCTGGAGACAAGAAGGAAAACGTTATTTTTTATTCAATAAGAAACATAAACTCACAGTACTTTCCAAGAGCTGATGCACAACATCACTTCAATGAAGCCCAATGCACTGGGATCAACAATACCTATACACAGACCTCCAATGACTCCAAAATTAGAAGGAAAAAATATTCCAAACTAGAGCAAAGAACTGAAGTCATTGTCTTCAACTATAAAAATAAAAACCTCCTTCAATTTTCTAAGAAAACTTTTTAAATAGAAAATTAATCATCAGTTATTTCTCCTTTTCATTTTTTTCACATACTTAGAAGAACAAACTGAATCTATCAAAAACAGGATCAATAATGATCCAAGGGATATTTAATTAATTATATGGCCCAGGAAATTCAATGCCATCTCAGCAGTCCCATCCCCTTCTTCCCAGCCACCTGCCATTGACAAAGTAGCAAAATGCATGCAGATTCTTTGGAAACAGTATTCTTGTGGTTCCTCCTAACCATTCAACACCTCCTAAAAATACACTTCAATGGCCTGTGTGTGCCTCTTTGTTCCATCCTTGGTGACAGAGAAAAATGAAGTGTCCACTTTCAGCACTTACCCTGCCAGGCTGTCTCAGCTGATAGAGAAATTTTTCTCCACTATCTTCCTGTAGAAGGTCTTACCTGTTAAATAACAGCCACCTAGAATGCAAAATAGCGGTCATTATCATTGTGTCAGGGTCCTGAAAGCTACAGAGATGGAGGCATGACTCATTTCTGATCATTACAGATCATAAAATTGATGAATAAATACACGTTTTGGCAAAGGAAGGCCATCAAGCCGCTTATGTAGTAAAAGTTTGCACCTTGAAATGAAAGGTGGACAATGGTATCATTAACCATTTACTGCTATTGAAGGACAAAATCAACAACAAATGAATTTAGCCGACAGAAAGGCAACTGGATGCAATCTCGTGTAGGATTTCATAGTACTAGCTCTTAATCTCTCTCCTCAAATTCTAATCAAAAATATGATCTGCCCAAACACAAGACAAACATAAAGCCAGAAACCATTATAGTCTTTATAAGACATTGAACAAATTCACCTATTTATAGCTGGAAATTGACAGACTAAAAATACCATTTTCTTCAAATCATAAGGCAGTTTATAGGGCAGCACATTGTCGACATGTGCTAAAGCTGGTAATGTGTGGATTCTGATTTTAAATAGCCTTAAGGTGTCTGGGTGTTAGGACTATTTGCAATCTGTTTTGGGGTCTATTAGAAGCCACTGATATAGAAGCTAAAACCCTCTTGATTTGCTTGTATTATTACAGGCAGTCTCCAAAAACTCAAAGAGCTAGTTGGCAAATGAAATCATTCAGTCAATTATCAGCTAGCTGGTAATAATTTTAGTTCAGGTGAGCATTCTGTGCCAGGCCAGGGTTTTATTTACAAAGAATAGCATATTTTCCTCCAGAATTCCTATATTAAGAATGCTTGTGTATTCACTGTCCATTTTCAAAGAAAGCTGTAAACTATAAATGCTTGAGACTGTCCTTATTAACAAGAAGTCATCTCAATGGAAATGACATTTTAAAAAAAGAACAATACATTCAGCTGTCCATTGGAATTATAAGACAGCACGGGTTTTAAAATGAGAAGCACCAGCGTTCTTCCCAATTTCCACACCGGCTATCTGCTCCTCAGAGGTCAGTTCTTTTCACCATGTCTGTCTTTACTTCTGGCTGTTACTTCCAATACACTAAATAATATGCTTATGTCTCCATTTCTTTATTTTCCTTCACTAAGTCTACTCCATACTATAAAAAATGAGGGCTTATTTCTTCATGATACTTCTTTCTTCATCGTTTCAATTTCTGAGATATGCAAAATTTCCCAGTCATTTTACTGACTGTCTGGGTAAAGTTGAATAATATATCTAAAATTCTATATATTTTGCTATTAACTTTAAACATTCCTGTAGATGTTCACTATGTAAAATGTTTATATTTGTGTCCTTTTTCTACCTGCCTTCCAAATTTTGATTTCCAATTCTGCCGTTTTCTTTATTCTTACATTAATAGCACATAGAGTTTTTTTGGTAAACATGATCACATCATCTGTGTTTTGACCAAAGGCTGATGGTAAAGTTGAAAACTAATGAAGAGGTTACATTGACCTGTTTGGACGATTAATACCTACAGAAAAGATGAGTCTGATTCTAGGAAGCTACAGTCTGATTGGCTTTGTTTCCTCCACAGGCCTCATAGCTGAATGGCAGAGCCAATGAGATGTCTGCAATGCAAGAGTGTGCGGCATGGGATGCTGACTTCAGGACGCCGAGCAGGAAGCCAGCAGATGGACACCTAGGTGTCTAAATGAGAAGCATGTGAATGTGCAGGGCCAATGCCCAGACTAAGGTTCTCCTCTAATTCCTTTGGAATATGGTCTTCAGCGTGTGGTCCCAGACCAGCAGCAGCAGCACTGTCTGAAATTTATGAACTGAAAATTCTGGTTATCCACTCAAGAACAACTGCATCAGAAACTCCGGGAGTGAGACCAGCAATTTGTGTGTGAACAACCTCTGCGTGATCATGAAGCAAGCTAAGACTCAAAAAACACTGCTTTAGAGGACAACACCCTAGGGTTTTGCATTGAGGTGAATGCCAAGTAGCAGGCTGAAAGAGGGTAAAAGCAGTAGGGCCAGTTGGCACTCCTGGCCTAGACCTTTAATTATCTCTAGTCTTTCTTTTGGGGGCTCACCCTTCATTCTTACTAGAACACCCAAAGTTTGGATTTTCTATGGGGTTCCTTTCAATGATGTGCTGGTGAATGCTTAACAACCAGCTAATGAGAAGGGAGGGAGGCCCTGATCTGTGCCCCCACACGGCCAGTTTCAAGCTGCCATCATGACATCTCTGAAGAAGACGGGAAGATACGAGCACAATCGCAGAGTGGTAGGACCTGGCTCCTCCACCACTGGTTCCCTGGGGAATGGACTCTTGTGCAGCTCCCATCAGCATGTTTCCAGCTCTGTTTCCTCCACCAACATGACTTTGTAAGCTTCTTACCTTCCAGAAATTCTGTTGACATCTCTTTCGACTGTTGATGTTTTACTGTTAAAGATTTTATCACCTTTGACTGTGCTTCACTAACACTTGTCTGAGGCTTTATAGGCACGTGTTCAGTCCAACACCTGGTCACAGAAATCTAAGGACATATTAACATCCAAGGTTTATGACCCACTTCACTGGGTGAAGACAAAGTGATTACTCACCGATGTGTTGTTGAGGTTACTGTCTGTATTTATACACGCTGTGACCCCCATGGTGAAGGTCAAAGGTAGCACTGAAAATCAGTGATCCTCGGGGCGCCTGGGTGGCTTAGTCGGTTAAGCGTCCGACTTTTGCTTAGGTCATGATCTCACGGTTCGTGGGTTCAAGCCCCGCATCGGCTCTGTGCTGACTGCCAGCTCAGAGTCTGGAGCCTGTTTCAGAGTCTGTGACTCCCTCTCTCTCTGACCCTCCCCTGCTCACGCTGTCTCTCTCTCTCTCTCTCTCCTAGAAATAAATAAAACATTAAAAATAACAATAATAAAATAAAAAATAAAGAAAATCAGTGATCCTCTATAATCACTCATCATTTATGTGTTCAACAAATACTGAGTCCTTCCTATATGCTAAGAATGATTTTAAGTGTCAGGAATAAAAAAGTAACAAAAGAGAATAAAATTGCTCTTAGATTTTCATCCTGGGGACAATGGGAGGATATAAAGAAGAGATCCAGCCTAGAATGGGAACATCACCAAAGGGCAGTGAAAAGGAGGGTGGTGGCCGGGAAGGCTGGCCCAACACTGCATGATCTCTGACAAAAGTTGGGAGAAATGCACAAGCTTGACTGTAACCATATAAACCATACATACTGTAAAACAAATGTGAAGCATATAATACATACATATTGCAACACAATTTCCAGCAAAATTTCAGCCCTCAGCCATGCACATGCATCTCTGATATACCAGACACAGGCACCCTTGAGTTACCAGGAGACAGTGGAACAGGACCTCTAAAAATATGAAGAAGCTTAAAATAATGACACCAATCCTCCTATGGCTTCTTGCCTTGCCAGCAATGAACTCATTCCCAGACAAGCCTCTTTTGAATTCTAGCAGGTGGTATCACCTTTGAGTGAGGGCACAGACTTGGAAGTTCAGCTTGGCTGTGTGCCCTGGCTTGGCCCCTCCCAAGGGTTCACAGCTCTAGGCAAAGTGTCCTCATCTATAAAATTAGTTTGGTAACAGCACTTAAGAAACGTGCTGGAAGAGTTGAATGAATAACGCAGGTGGAGGTGAGGCACACAGTACTTGCTTATTAAGTGCTCTCTGTGTGCACTGAGTTGGCATTCTCTCTTCTGTCCTGTTGCACCACTCGGTGCTGCCTTCTACCCACTCGACTTTGATATTGCCAAATCTGGAGGGTGATTTAAACTTTTTTTTAAACAAAATATGCTGCATGTCAGCTCTCAAAATTCTCTAATTTATAATGAATAAAACATTTCCTTTTCCAGAGCCTCACTGTTCATTCAGCCCCTTCTGTGTGGGGCCACACACTGAAATTTCCCACAGCTGCCTGAAGTCTCAGAAGCAGGCCCTTCCTAATTTGTCAGCTGTTCAGGTAGAGCCTGAGTTATCAGTGAAGGTAAACTTTGGTCACTGGAGGTGAAAAAATCTAAGTCTTCCTAATTATAAAGCACAAATACACATATGATATAGGTTGTATGATAAGCAAATGTTCCACCAGAGAGCACAAAATATAAACAAATACACAATTTATCTGTGGTATTAAAATATCATGGGGAGTTTCTAGGAAAAATTTCTAAAAAGGCCAGAAGGGAAATGATGAAGAACATTTGAGGAAGAGAAAAATACAGTTTTCAACTTACAAAGGGGTAAGTTGATCATAACTTAGAATTTGCATGGAGAGGGTATCACAGGTCAAAAGACTTTTAAGTAGCCCTCCTCCCCCCCCCCCCAAAAAAAATCCTCCTGTATTTCATAATGCTTTTTAATTCTTACCTGGCCAGTCCAGGAAAGGGCACTTCCCTGCCTTCCAAGGCGGCCGCTACAACAGAAAGAAGGCTCTGCAGAGTCAGCAGGAAGAAGAGGCTCCTCCACAGCGGTAGGGAACACACAAGAACTTAATTGTAATTCATGCCTGAACCCAAAGTGGGGAAACAGATATACCTGTCAGGACAGCCCAGGAAACACTATGATAACAAATGATTCCACTGTCTCTGTGTAGACTCAAGGATCCTGTGAGTAGACTGGCTGGATGACCTTGAAGACCCCTTGATCCAGAACACTGTGACTCTGCAGGTCATCCAGGTTCACACAGCTCATCAGTAGCCGGTCAGTGCAAACATCTTTCTCCCAAATAAACACCCATACAGAAAGGGGAAAGCAAAGCTCAAGGTAATTTAGTGACTGGCATTCAGATTCCCTTGCTCTAATATATAAATTTTGGAAAAAGTTCTATCACATATCATTCCTTGATCAGTATGCATCAAATGTCTGATGTTGGTTTGATGACTAAATGCCATGAATTATTATTATGCATTAGCAAACTGTCCAAGTACTCTGGGTTTGCCGCCCTGATATGGTTCTGAATAATGTAGAAGCATATTGGAACTCA